TTGTTGTTGCTGCTGGTGCTGCTGCTCTTCTTGTCTTAGTCTTAGCCTTCTGCTTAAAAAGATTGAACTGACCTTATTCGTGCTGTTGTCCTTATTGCTTGTTGGTTGTTGCTGTTCTTGCTGGTCTTGGTGGCGGGGGTGGTGGAGGTGCTTTGCCAACACAAGGAAAGCAATTAGTGGATGAACAGCAGCACTTTGGAACAAATACGAACGAAGTCCGAGATTCAACAATATTTCGAAACTAACGTCATTCTTACCACCCCAAGCCCTCCCTGCCCCCGTAACACACACACACACACCCTCCCAACAAGTCCACGAAATGCAGGGGAGTCTACAACCATACAACTACAATAACGTTACAACTGCAAACAATCATACTACGACTACTTTGATGCCTACCACTAACACCGGTACGACTGCTTTGATGCCTACCTCTACAGTCGCCATTACCCACCAGTACCACCGCCATGAGCAGCACCGCCAGCATCAGCACGACAACGACCTACACTGTTGCCACTACCAACACCTCCACCACGCTACTGCTACCGCTGCTGCTAGTGCTACCGCCGCTGCCGCTGCTGCTGGTGCTGCAAAGCCACTGCAACTTCAACGACTTCCGCTACTCCTGAGTCTAAGGCTGCTGCTGACGCGACTGGAACCCTCAAGCTATTTTCAATGGACGACTACATGTGCTACATGTTTGTGATCTTTGCCACGGCATGGGAAGCTGCGACCTGTTCAGGATCTGAGCATTTCCACGCAGATAAAACGATCGTATGTTTCGCATGCAAGCGATTAGTGACGAAGACGGCCATTGCGTTTAGCAGCGCGCCATGTCAGTCTCCGTGCACGGCATCCCCGGTAAGCTCCAGACTGAAAGCCAAGCAGACCTGCTCCATCAGCTCCTACAATCAGCCAGCCAATTTGACAAATGACCGCGTTCGCAGTTGCAGGTCAAGGACCCAGGAGGGACATGAAGGCCCGCACCACCGCCACCAGCACGAGGCCCAGCCGCACCCCCAACTCCCACCCCAACCTGCAACAACAACAACAGAGAGCGACGACGACACCACCAACAACACCAGCACCAGCA